CTCCAAGCTTTGACTGTAGCACAAAATAAAACACCACACCACAACTAAAGTTCACCAATATTCAACAACTGTTGAATATTGTTGTCTAAAAACACATTTACTGGATTTTGAACTTTTTATAATTTATTTCTTATAATCCAGAATTACATTTGTTTTAACTATTTTCATGTGCTTTAAAACAATCTTGCTTTTGTATTGTCTTGAACTTTATCTAGCATGTCAATAAAGATCTAATTGCCAAGTTCACATGCTAAAGCTTTACATTTGGCAAGAATTGTAAAGTAAAACTGTTTTAAAAAGTATGATTCAACAGAAGCATCATGCATGTCACTCACCTCACTTTCATTTTCTTGTGGTGGATTATTGGTTGCATTATTTAAGTCTATTGTTGTGTCCAACAAATCATTTGGAATAAAATCATTGTAAAGTACTTTGCTAGTGTTTCTAAAGTAACTTCTGGTGAGGGTGTTTTGATCCAGCCTATAGAATCACTGATAGTGACAACTTTTTTAAAGTCATACCCAGATGTTACTTCATCCATCTTTGGCAACAAGTGACCATAACATTATTGTTTGATAATGGATTTTAAATGCATATATAACATCTTGATCTAGTGGCTGTAAACACTGTTCAATTTGCTGAGAATTTCAACTCTACATGTGACAGCTTCCTGTAGCAATGGCATGGGCATTATCAACAAACAATTCTCTTGTTGGTAAATTTTGTCATTCAACTTGTTAAGTCACAAACAAAAAATCTGATATGTCACTCACAATTTCTTGTTTGCATACCACTGAACACCAAGTTGCAAAACACTAACATTTTTGAAGTATCTTGGCTGAAGACAAACTGTATGGAATAACAACAATGGCTCCTTTAATTTACAGAGGTTAGCACACAAGGCAACATCTATTAGAGTTCCACATATCAATAGCATCTGCAGTACTCAAATCACAATGTTGTTGCTCAGACAAACTTACCAAGCCACCCATTTCTGGCACAAAATGTAGAAATATCAAGTTTCATGGCAAATTTTAAGACCATTTCTTGCAGCATCAATCCTTAAACAAGTAGGCCTTTAGCCTGACTGCAATTGAACCACTCCAAAATTGCTCTGTTGACATCTTCATATGGTTGGATACATCATCTTTTGATTTTCTCATTTGTATTTGCTTTCCAATCACTGAAATAAAGTTCCTTATTGGCAAGAATTGTTTGAATTTGGACTTCCAATTAAATTTCTTTGACAATTGTCAATGCTTAATAGAGAAATACTTTCCTTTAAAGTCAGGAAATTAAACTGTTTTGCTGCATACACTTGACATCTTGCTTGTACCATAACTAACTTATAGACTTAAGTCCTAAACTTTGTGTTAATTTTCAGAAAATAATTACAGACTTAAAACTTAAAATTACATACCATGAATACAATCTTCCAGCAAATAATATGTATTTGAATTAAATACAAAATGGAATGTTTTGGAGCCTGCATCGAGTGTCAATCTTTACAGAATATTAAAAAACATTCTAAAATTAGAATCTCCAATGTTCTGTAAAATTCAACACTTGATACAGGCCCTAAAAGAGACAGAGAATGTTCCATTTTGTATTTAATTCAAATACATATTATTTGCTGGAAGATTGTTGCATGGTATGTAATTTTAAGTTAGGCACCTCAAATTTCTTCCATTCCTTCAGTGAAGGGATTAAAGATTTAATTGTTATAAAAATTACTTTAACTTTACTATGTGATATCTGTCAAATAACTCAGATAGAATTTTTTTTTTAAATACATAGTTGAGTGTCCAAGTACTTATGCATATAAAAAAATCCAAGCTCAGTAATGTAATAATATAAATTTTAACTTAAGATATATTTACTTATGATGTAACATTTAGAAAAATTATTTTAATAAATGGAATAGCATTTATTTCATTAACACTTAACTGTTAAATTACTTTCAGGAAACTAGTTTTTTTTATGCATTTATATGCATATGAATACATAAATTAAACAAACCTTTCTTAATAATATTTATGTAGTATATTGTGATTTAGGAAGATATTTAAACACAGTTTTCAACTCAAATAATTCTCTATCTAAACATTCTACCTAAAGTTAAATATTTTTGGAATATTTATCAAAACCTTCATATTTTATTTTAAAGACAATTGATTTATATCTAAGTTTCAGAATTCCAAAAATAGCATTTGAAGAATTCTTGTCATTTTATTCTACTCCTGAAGCAAGTTTCATGATATTTGTTTGGAATGCCTTATTATTGATATTTAACATTATTAGAATATAATACTTATAAATTTTTGCTGTAAAAATTTACGAAAAATATTTGTTTGTCATACTAGGCAAATTCTTCTCACATTACAACCTTTACATACACAAGTCTATCACTTCTTGTAGTATATCATCTTTATTAAAAATTTTATTTTATGTATAATGAAAATTTCTTTATAGTAATTATAAATTTTTATATTACTTATTATAAAAATATATTTAAAAATTATTATTTCTAAATATAGATTTATATTTATGGTCTACAAGTACCAGCACTTGCACTTCATAATAATTCATAGAATTCTTGAATATCTAAAATCAAATTAATTGAATATTTCAAAATCAAGAAAATAATCAAGTGATGACAATCATTATTTCATGTTTCTTACAATCATCATAATTATTAAAATTTAACAGTAAATAAAAGATTTTGCTAAAATATTTAAAGTTTCTATATACGTGTATTTTATACAGAAACTGACTGACTAAAATTAAGTAAACAATGACTGTTCTATTCTTTTTGGATATGTGATTTCACTGAAATTTATAATTGAACAATTATTATTATAAAAATTTAAATATTTAAACAACAGCCGAAACATAATCTTTCATTTTTTCCCGATATGAAGTATTTGCTCATTTCATATCAGTTTTAAATAAAAAAAATTAATTTATGAATAAATTTATAGGTAGCAAGTGCTGCCATCTTGTAATAAATATTTTATTATTATTATTATTATTGTAGTAATTAATTTAGAAATTCTAGAAAATAATCAGCTCTAAAGAAGATTTAAAGTCTCATCTCATTTTCACATACAATTATGGCTACTTCTGACAAATTTATAAATTAATTTTTTTTTTTTTGGCTTGAAAGTAGTAGAAACCAAAAAAAAAAAATTTTGAAATTTGATTATTGAGTGATTGTAAGTACAGCTGATTGTTTTTACACATAACACATAACATTTTAAACTATTGAGTATTGTTGATTTTTTTACACCAAATTATAATATATAAAATTTGATGGTGTGATTTATATATATATATAAACTTAATATAACTATTTATTGCTGTGGTGTGTATGGTATATATACAAGAACAATAAGTATTGTCTCTATCTAATCAGCATGCTAGATATAAATTACTATTTATCATTATTTGAAATTTTTAAAAATTTTAAAATAATAATATACTCCTTCTATTTAACTGTTAAATAAAAAAAATTTAATACTTAAATTGCTTATGTTTTGTTAAAATTGGAAGTTTTTACTTATATATATAAAGAATTCTGTATGTTAATTTCTATATACACACACAATGATAATGAATAGATTGTGCAAGGACAAAAACAAGATAGTATATTGTTACATTTAATGACAGATATCAGAACAATGTTGTTATGTAAGATATTATAAACTAAATAAATAAAAATTTTAACGTTTACCAAGAAATATAGAATTTTATAAAGTTCGTATATTTTTAATTTGTTAGTTTATTTATTATACTTTACTTAAATGTAATAACTAATACATAGAGATTTTACAATATGTTTAAAGAACATCTATCATATATAATTAACATAAATGGAATCTTATACAGATAAAATATTCAAAAAATACATGTACTTGTATCACCAATACAAGACAAATCCATTGAAATGTTAAATACTTTTGTAGTTACTAAATTATAAAATTTTGAAAACACACAAAAAGTATATGGTTAAAACATGCTAATTTAAGAATGATTTAATCAAAATTAAAAAAATTAGTATGAAAAATTATTTTACATCAATTATACAGCAAGTTAATTTAAATTTGAAAAAATGCATACAATCATTATTTAAATTTGGCCATTCATTTGGGTTTAAGAAGTACCTACACAATATCATTATTTTTAAATCTGAGTTTAGTTTTACTTTCTGCAATAACAAGATGTGAATGTAAAAATTTAAGTACATGACATGAATAAAATATCTATCAATGGAATAAATTGTAAAGGACAAGTTTAAAAGCCCAACAGTAATAAAAAAAAAAAAAACAAGCAAGTTCATCTATGGTAAGTAGACAAGACATGACCTTGGGACAATAGCATTTTAAATCATAGCAAATGAGTGACATTTATAACATAAAAAAACATCTATTACAGACAAAAATTTCAACTTTGTATTTTTTAACTAAATAAAAAAAACAGTCATATATTATACTAAAAAGATCCATTAGAATCCATATAAAAAAATAATTTAGTTTATGCTGTATACTAGATAATATTGAAAAACAAATTTCCACGTCTGTGTTAATAAATTTCAGTTTATTTTTAAAAATTCTGATGATTTTATTTGCATGTATAAATGATTCAAAACTGACATTATTATTATTATTCAAAATCATTACATTAATGCTATTTAAACCGTCTACAAAATGGCCTTTTTTCTCAAATTCTTTTTGAATGTCTGGACAGTATTTATCAACCAGTTATCAAAACTAGCTAAACAGTTAAGATTAAGAAAGAATTCACATTTCGTGTAAGTTTCTAAAGCAAAAAAAAAAAGAAAGAAAGTAAAAAAAACCTACATAAAATATGAAGTTCTCAGTAGCAGTATTAAAAAATAAATAAAAATAAAATTCAATATTGCAAGTACTTGACTACATTTTAAGTAATAAAAATTTGTTTTAAAAAAAATATATTTTCTGTAGATATTTTCCAATAGAGGAAAGTGTATTTCGGAAGAAGATTTAGAAGCGCGACGGTACAAAAAGTAAAAAAAGCATCAACATTTTTTATGAATCATTGTCGTGTCATACATCAAATACTTTTTTCCCCCTCTCCCTTCTTTTTGTATTAATCGTACATATCAGTGATGAACCCGGTTGAAAGAGAGGGAGAGCGATAAAGAGAGAGAGAGAGAAGTTGAAGGAACCGAAATTCCGGTAGGATTTAATGAGGAAAACTAATCCCACGGTCGAGGTGCAACGGAAGGCAAACACAATCGCATTCGCATCCCCCGCAATAACTTTTTCGGAATTAATTAAGCACTTTACTTTATACAAATATGAGTAAATATGAACTTACGAAGCGTCCGGGTCACGTAAACCAACATAAACATCGCAGTTTGGAAAGGTTTCGGTTCATCTTAGGGTCTGTCAGCTCCCCGGTCGATTCGCCGTCCAATCGGAACGTGGCACCAGCCGAAACGTCCAATAGTGTGGGATATCACGTGTTAGCCAAGGTGACAGGCGCGCGGTTCACTGAACGAGCAGGCAAGATCCTGTTTTATTGACATACAAGCGGAATGAAAGAGAAGGGGGTCAAACTCAACAAGGAATGCATCGAGGTACAATATGTCCCTTCAAGACTCCGACTTGGACATTTAAATTTTCCTCTATTACCGAACTGGATCGATTAAAAAAAAAAAGTAGTAATAAAAACCACCAACGAGGAGAGGAAAAAAATCCCTGGATTTCAGACAGATCTCGTCACGCTATAAACAGCGTAAAAATAATCACGTAATTAACTTATTATAAATATTAAAAGACGATGATAAGCGAGGGAATGATGATAAATGGCCGCAATTAGCGTTTTAAAACGTTTAAATTACTTAGCACCGTACGACTTCACCCGATAAGAAACGATTAGATTTAAAATAAAATTAAAAAAAAAACTCTCTCTCGGAAAAAAAAACTAAAAATAAAAGTCTAACGAGAAATATTGATCGGTAAATTCCGAAATAGCCAGTTATAAACATACAAGATTCACCAAACGTCTCTTCCTCTTAAAGCAGTCGCCATACCATCAACCCTGTTACCATGACGACGGCGCCAAGTAACTTCCAAAGTCAGGTTTTTAGCTCCTCAGACGATCCATCTCTGTCTTAACTTCTCCCTGCATTAATTACGCTTAAGTCAACACCTTACAATAGAGTCGTAGCGTGGTCAAGAAAACTACACAAACAAGAATTTCTGTTCGAGGCGGAGGCGATGTTATTCTTTCTGGCCACGAAAAATGAAAGCAGGAAAAAAAATAATGATAATAATAATCGTAGCTGTAATTTATAGTATATATATATGTATGCAATTATTTACGCTTTACCTGGTTCCCCCCTTAGGAATACTTAGCCCGAAAAAATAACGAAACGGCACGTATATATAGGATAATTACTCGAGTTCTATATATATATATAGTGCGAAATTATTGCCTTTACAGTTCTACGAACCAAAGTTAGACTTGAGAAAGAAGCAGAGATTGATCGATCTTGCTAGCTTTTTAAGTAGTTTTCGATCGGAAGTGCAAAAAAAAAGAGAATTAATATCTTTAGCATTAAAAATACTTGGAGGGGGAAAAAAGCCTGGCATTACCGAATATCTCCAAGCAAAATAAATAAAAATTCAGTCTAAGCCTTGAACAAACAAAACAGGAATTTTATACTTTCGCTCCAGATTTTTATCTGTTTGTAATAATAACGGAGCGGTAGGGAAAAAAAGAGAGAGAGAGACAGGTTGTTTACACAATTTTGCAACAGTATAAACACAGAAATCCGCAGGATAAAAATGTAGACGACGGTGCCAACGTATTGCAGTTGTTTTTAAAACGTAATAAAACATTCAAGCTAGGATAACCATTGTTATGACAGAGACAAGGAAAATTCGTCCTGCCTTTGACAACTAACAAAGGCACTGCTGAAATGCAGGTGATACTCCAGGTGTGTCAAGGCAGTTGCGGAGCATTGAACAATAGCTGGCAAAATACTTCCTGAAATGTGGAAACTTATTTACGACCGTCGCCATTGTTATATTAACTTGCAAACAAGAACGGATATACAAAAAAAAAAAAGAAAAGAAAAATATATATCTGTGAATGAATATTCATTAAGATCTTCCAAGTTAAAGTTTGAAATTATTATTATTTTTTTTTTTTTTACTGTTACATATGCAGTTTTGATTAAGATATTTTACGAGGTCAAAGCTCGTTTTAGTGATATTTTATGTAAATTATTAATTAAAATACATACATACGTTTGATAAATCTATGATGATAATTCATTGCATAATATAAAAATTATGTTTTTAAGGTATAATTGCAAAATACATTGCAAATTCGCTGTTTTTATTCTTAACGATATTTCATGTACACTATTTTTGTTCTTAAATCGTATTTAAACGTTTGAACAAATTTTCTTAAAATTTCGTTATAATTTACTTAAACTAACCCTTAAATTAAAACATTATTTAAAATAATAATAATAATAATAATTTCAAACCAATTAAATAAGAATTAATGTAACCTTATTTTACCAATCATATTTAAAAAAGTTTATACCGTAAATCAAGTTTCTATAAAAATCAGTCAATATTTCCTTAGATTATATAAACCTGATAAACAAACATTGAGTTATTTAAACTTTGTATATAAATATTACACATTTTTTTTAGTCCAATTAATTCTGAAAAGTTAAGGTTAAAATACTTGTAAAGTTTATATTTAGCATTAATACATGTGAAGCCAGGACGTTTTTTTAAAAAATCAAACATTGCTTATTTTAATTAATTGCTTGTTTTAAAAGTGTCGATTTTTTTTATTGACACAAACTTTTGTCAACTTCTTTTCACTTATAATATTGATTTTTTTTTCCTTTCCTCCCAAACCTTTCATCTTTTTATATTCAAATATTGGTCTCTTTTATTAAATTCCTTAGATTGTATAGATAACATTCAATGATTTTTTTACATTTCAAATTAATTCCTTTCATCATTTTCTTCCATTTTACTTTTTAATTTACATTGATAATTAAATAATCATTAAATGAAATATTGAAAAATTTTATTAAACTAATTTCATCTTTCAAAATTTTCCATTTATTTTAAATGTATTATTTTTTTTTTAATAGTGTAACCAAAAGGCAGCCAAAAGGTACTTCAAATTATTTACATTCTGTCTAGTAAAGAAATTAAAAAGTAAAAATATCTATAAAAAGCACATTATACAGTGTTCTGGAATTCAACCCTCTCCACTACATTGTGACAATCATTATCATGCTCCTGCCACTTTTATTCCCTAGAAAAGCAGGTGCCTTTTAGGAGAGAGATTAGGTCAATCTCAAAAAGAAAAATTCATCATATGTTGGCACCATTCAATTCATTTCACTATCAAGTCAACATTTATTTTAGAGAAAATTTTACATGTAGACTTATAATTTAACGCTATTATTTTGTTATACATATATACATTATCTTGGTTTATGAATTAAGTTATTATTGATATACAATTTTAAAAAAAATATTCTATGTAATAATATAACAAACTACTTTAAATTTTTAATTACTATTTACTCTTAAAATCTTATAAAATGTCAAAACAAATCTTAAGAAAACACTCAGAAAAATAATTATAAACTGATTAATTTCCCATATTCTAACATTGCAACATAATACAAATAAGTATTGCTTTGAGAAAACAAAAATACCATCTAATGTTAAATATATTACACTAAAACCAGACAAATTCTTACAAAACAAAGTATACTTTTATCATTATTAACAGTAGTATAATTTTAATATAAGCTATACAGCAATTATTTTATATATAAACAGAACAAAACATTATCTGAATTTAGAATTAAATTCTGATTTTATTAAAGGTAAATTCTGTGTGTGAATGCAATAGTTACTCTTTTAAAAATATTTTAAAATATGGATAACAATAACAGTTCTCTAATATCAACTGTTGTTACATAGTATTGGCCACCGAAACAGTTTTCACTCAATCAGCTGCGTAATAAAAAGAACTTTGCTCAAAACAATAACTCATTTGTAGATTTTTAGAATGCAATATGCCTAGGAAATAAAATTATTAAAGGTCAACCATTTCTGATTCCAAATATTATAGTGTGAATAAGTGCAAAGTATGAGTAAAATGAGAATTAAATACAAAGGGTGAGTACAAACACAAATTAAAAAAAAAAATTAGCATGTTAACTAAAATATTTCAATTCCAAACCTGTATCAACATTGTTAAAAACTTTTGACAATCAATAATTGTTTCAACATCCAAGATGTTATTTAGAATTTACAAAAAATAAACGGGCACTTAAATTATGGAATCAAAATATTCTGCTACATCCTTCTCACTCTAAAGAAAGAAATCATCTCTATTGCCTTGAACCATTTTGAGAATAAAGACTATAGAGAATTGTGTTCCCTCATGACAGATATTATCCTGTCAGAAAAGAATAAACTATTATGGATACCAGAATCAGTCAAATATGGTTTTCTGCAATTTTATGTGAATGGACTATTTTCATCATTCAATAGAAAGAGAAAGAAGGGTGTCATCTTTTATCAATAAGATTGATGGCTTTGATCTATCAATAATTTATCGTAGCATTCAAATATATTATTTGGATAAAATTCTTCTATTTTTTTTTTTTTTTTTACAGTTAGTGAATCATCAGACAAATGTTCGAATAGAAAAATTGATACTATGAATATATTCTACTAAGAAAAAATGAAAACACTTACAAAAAACAAAAATATTAGTTTCAATTTTCAAATAGCAATAAAAACTTCTAGGTTAGAAATGAGACTTCTGATCTAATTTTGATTTCAAAACCAAAGAGATTTCACAAAAATGTCAAACTGTTTTCAAGGAATCAAAAATATTTAAATTTAGAAATAATTTTGAGATAGTTTATTTTCAACCTCAACTACTACATTTTGAAGCAGAGGCCATGCAACACTACAATTAGAAAACTAAATGATATATGGCAGAATTTTTTATTCCTTCAACTAAACTTTCTCTTGTAAAAATTATGCTATATATTTTAATATTGTATTAATTTTTAGTTAAAATAAAATTGTAGAATTAACATATTTGTAATGTAAAGAATTTTGTCATTCTTAAAATTGGTTTTAGAGTATAGAACATTACGTAAAATTAGATTATGACGACAGCTTTTTTGTGTTCACAGACAGATGAAATTTAGTTTAATCATGTACCATATAAATGTTGCTCACACTAAAAACAAGCAAGCAAATGTATGGATCATTCATGCCATGACCAGTAGAAAACAAGTATGCAGCAGTTTTGAAAAGGCAATAATTTCTGGTTTTGTTAGAAATCAAAATCTTAGCATTAACTTAGCAAACACAAAGATCCTGTAAAGTTGACAAAAATAAGCAGATGAACAAGTGCTCATTTTTATGTTTACCTTTTTATTTTTTCTTGCATTATTCTTAAAGGTGTTCCAAAAAGGATTACTTTACCTTAAAATAAATTCTTAATTTGAAAGAATAAAATTTTTTTAAAGAAAAGTAGTTTCAATTTTATTGGGGAATGCCCAATTTTATGATTTCTGTTCAATAAATTAGAATTTAAAGTATAGTGAATTTTTTTACCAACATAA